CAGTAATGGCTGACATAATGCCACAGAACGCAGACCTCTTCATCTCTGTCTCATCTGGGACCTCCACGAAAGAAGTTGTGGCTGGCCAACTCTCACGTGGTAGCCGAAGGAAGGCAGGACCTTGGCTGAACTGGTTTGGCTTGGCTAGGTTGAATAGTGTCATCCCTCTGGTGATAGCATCTGCAGGGTTATTCTGTGTGTCCACATACCTCCATGACCGGTGATCCGTTAGCTCCTGAATCTCAGATACACGAGTCCCTACAAACACCTTGTATCTGCAGGACTCTGACTGTATCCAGGTAAGTACTGTGGTGGAGTCAGACCACAGCACTGTGTCACTCAACTGAAGGGTGAGCTCTCTCTGGATCATCAGGGCAAGCTGAGCTCCGGTAAGGGCGGTACAGAGCTCAAGCCGTGGCATTGACTGTTGTTTCTTCGGTGCCACTCTTGAGCGTGCCAGCACAAAGGCTACATGGACTTGGCCATGAGGATCCTCGCCACGTAGGTAAGCAACTGACCCATAGGCGGACTCTGATGCATCACAAAAGACGTGAAGCTCGAGGGTGATGGCAGTTACATCCAAGTCCAGTGGGAAGTAACTCCGGGAGAGACTGACCATTGGGAGCTGAGGGAGCTCTTCTTCCCATGTAGTCCAGGCTTGCAAGAGGTCGACCGGTAAGTTTGGGTCATCCCAGTCGCGATCTTTGGCCCACAGTCTCTGGACCAAAACTTTGGCCCTCGTGGTGAAGGGCAGGATATGACCTAGGGGATCATACTGGCTTGCTAGTATCTTATAGATATTTCGCATGGTCGTCTGACTTGGGGCAACCGGTCGATGCCTGTAATGGAGTGTATCTTCCATGAAGTGCCAACTGAGGCCCAGCGTCATCTCTTGAGCTTCACCATGCGTCTGAGAAACCCATCTTTCGCTGCTGTCAGACTTGGCCTCCTTAGGCAGGTTGCGAATCACCTCTGGTTGGTTACTGGCCCACTGTCGAATATCGAAGCCACCTGCAGATAGAAGGGTTCTAAGCTTTGTCACAAGGTCACTGGCTTCTACTAAGGTGGGTAGACTCTGCAGGCAGTTATCAACGTAGAAACACTGTTCTACACTGTGGCGGACATTTCCCCCTGGTTGACTTGACTCATTGACGTGTTTCTGGAGAGCAAAGATCGCGCAGCAGGGACTGCACGTCGTCCCGAACGGCAGGACCTCCCACTGGTACACTGATGGCTGTTCGTCCGTCTTTAGATCTCTCCAAAGGAACCTCAGCAAGGGCTTGTCTCTGTCCAGCAGGCGGACCTGGTGAAACATCCCTTTAATGTCTCCACTTACTGCGACTCGATGCTCTCTGAAGCGCAGGAGGACTCCAAGGAGTGAAGGTCCTAAGGCTGGACCAGGAAGGAGGTAGTTATTCAGACTTTGTCTGCCAAGCTGGAAGCTGCAGTTGAAAACAATCCGTTCCTTGCCATTGTGCCTGACCATGTGGTGGGGCAGAAACCACGACTCCTCTGATGAGTCCGCCTCGCAGTAAAGGAGTCAATCTTGGTGGCGTACCCAGCAATCTCCAGTTTCTTGATCTCCTCCTGGTAGGTAGATGCACGCAGTTGGTCTTGTACTAACCTCTTCTCTGTGTTTCGCAGGTTCTTCATCACACCTTCCTTTGAAACTTGCAGCTTCGGCATGTTTGGGACTCGTAGAAGGGGTGTAGCGTACCGATGCACTCCATCTACTTCTACACGGATGGTCTCGGCCTCTAGTAGGTCCACTGAGTACTTGTCCTGTCTGGATCTGGTCACCAATCTCTCACTTTTGAAAGGCAGTGTATCTAACTGCCACAACCGCTCAACTTGACTGAACAGCTCAACAGAAGGGGAGGAAACTGTGGTGAACAAGCACTGTGTGGTGGGAAGCTGTTGCTGCAGGGATTTTGCTGGACCCTGGAGTGTCCAACCAAGCTTGGTCTTGACTGCTGCAGGACCACCAGGGGGACCCAGATGAACTGGCTCAATTGGAACAATCAGATCAGCATTATTCGATCCAATCAGGAGGGTTGGCTGAGCTCCATCGATGGAGGGGTTTGCCAGACCTTGTAGATGCCGATATCTTCTCTGGAGCTGGGTAACTGGGTAACTGTACTGAGAAAGGCCTAAGTGTTCACCTGTGAATGCGCCTTGGATGGAGAACCTCTTTGTTGGTTGGGAGGCTGGAGTGATCGTAAAAGACACGTGAGCCTGACAGTATCTTGATGTCTTGGCGGATAGTACGGAGTGTGAGGTCTTCTGCTTGACCCTGTACTCCCAGGCGGCGTGCTGCAGATGAAAGCAGGATGGTTCTCTCAGAGCCATCATCTAACACTGCATACGTGTCGAGCACTTTATCCTGGTATTGCAAATTGACTCTGACAATCTTTAACAGCACCTGGCTATATCTATTTGGCTGATCCAGGTAATGAGTCTCTGCTGTCGACATGATGGTGGGCTCGTTCTCACTCCTCTGGTTGACTTCATGAAGAACGGAGAGGTGTTTCGACTTACAAAGGCGACACGGCTTCTTGAGGTCACAGGCAGAGGCTAGGTGAGAACGTCCACATCTCCAGCACCTCCTCTTGACTTTAATCCAATCCACCATCTCTGATTTGGTAAGCTTAGCAAAGCTCTCACATTGGCTGAGGTAGTGTTCTGCCTCGCAGTAAGGGCAGTATATCTTACCCTTCCCTTGGGTTCGAATAGAATGAGCTGCTTGAGAGGGTGTGTCGGATGGATGGTTACTGGAACTGCCTGTCCCATGCATAACAGTAGTGATCTTAACCTTGGACTTATGCTGCTTAAATTCTCTATTGTCTTTCTCACTGTGAGCTTGAAGTGAGGGCTCAATGTCCAGGCATCTGACTTCTGCCTTCAACCACTCTGAAAAGTCAGTGAGCGTTAACTTCAGTTTATCCGGGTCCTTCCTATACTGTTGACGACGAAATCTCTCTTGCTGGTGCTTGGGGAGCCTGCTTAGAAGGCGCTTCCCATTTGAGCCGCAGTGGAGTTCCTCATGGCCTTCACCTCGGAGAGCTTTCAGCATCCCGACAAGCGACTGCACTCTGATAGAGAACTCGTCAAGAGCTCTATCATCTCGGATGAGGGGTATGCATTCCATGTCCTCTATCTCCTTCAGCACAAACTGATATGGACGTCCATAGCGTTCATCCAGTGCTTTCAGAGCTTCAGAGTAGGGCATATTAGACTCTGCATGAGCTAGCACGAGGCGATGTGCATGTGGCACCTTGACATGCTTCAGCAAGATGGCATACTTGAAATGCTCGGAGTGAGAAGGATGAAGAAGTGTGCTAAGGGAAAGGCGTAGCTCCACATATTGAGCTCTATCCTCCTTGGTGAAGTCAGGAAATGTTGGGCCTTCTATATTGGGGGGTGCATGCTGATACCCGGTGGAGGGATAATGAGCCAGCATGGCTGGGTTCCCTTGGTAGAAGGGTTGGGGTACATAAGTAGGCTGATATAATGACTGGTGCACGGGTAGAGGCCTTATCTGATCGAGAGCTGGATTTACATTTAGCGATCTGGGAGGATCCACATGTGGGAGATAGATATGAGGTTCAGGTGGCACCAGATGTGGATTTCCCAACTGAGGCTCCCTACCTTTCTCGTGTTGGCTGCCGGGTGCAGCTGAGTTGGGCTTACAATTACTTGAAATGGGGTAAGACGAGAGTGAGCTATATGATGAGGCATTTCTTAGAAAACCTACTGAATGCTGTAGGCCCTGGGGTGACCCCTTGGGATGGCTGGGCTGAAGGTGAGCTGGTGAATCATGTTCAGTATCCTGCTTGATAGCCTGAACATCATAGCGTGGATCGAGCGTGTGCCTAGGAGGTTGAATGACTCGGCTAAGAGGTGGAGGAAGTGTCATTTGTTCTAGCTGATGGGTAAGGTCTGCAGCTACGCTTGGGTAATCCTCAGTTCTGTGGTGGTAAGGAGCAAGGGCTGGGGAAGGCTGTGGTTCACCTCCTCTGTCTGGGTAGAGTTGGCGTACTGGGGTCTGATGCCGTGATGACCTCCTTGACCACCGAGCTGAGGTCTGAGGGGAATGGTGCTGCAGGAAAAACTCCAAAAGCTCTGTTTGTTTCTTGGCCGTTTCACTCTGTTGCCGTGCTGTCTCCAAAGCCTGATGAACAATGGCTTCATTTGCATTCTGCATCGGTGTCATTGCGGATATGCTTTTAGCAGGACTGAGTAGCTTTCTCTCCTCTCCGTGCCTGTGCATCTGCGCTAAGCTATGCTGTTCGGTATATTCAACTAAAAAATCATCCAGATATCTTGGGCGTTGCACTGAGCGTTTGGGGCGCACAGGTGAAACAGGGAGGCTGATTCCTTCTTTACTGGTTGCCATATCGTTGACTCGATCCGGCTCGAAGGACCATAAATTGTAATGGAGCTCTACTGGTTATGAAAATTAGTCACCAATATGGGGTGTCTAGTCAGGACACGGAAGGCAGGGATATTCGTTGAATGGTTTAATACTTTAAAATACAGATGCACAGGCACTATTTCTTACTAACTTTACAGTGTAGGTGTGGTTCTAAAGGAAAGGAAATAAACATCGATATTAACTAACATAAACACAATTGAGGCTAATAAGTCTCCATAGCTACTTAAATAAACAATGCTAAACATGTCCTGAAACATGAACTACAGTAATAATGATATACAAGCTACACATACAACAGAGATAAAGGCTGTCACTGACTATAAACTTTAACATAAAATACTAACATTAACTTATCTATTTTATTTAATTGTAACTTACTGGTGGTCACTGACGCACACGAACACAACCTGAAGCTTAACTTATAAAGTGAAACTAAAAACTGACGGCCGTTCTCTGCAAGCCAGGGCATGTCGTAACATGTCAGAAAAGGGGGTGTGGTCTGAGCGAACACTCGCTGTACATGCTCAGTCCAGATTCACATCACTTGAGCCTTTTGCACATGAAGGTTTCCCAAGGACAAGGATGTGAGGAAGAAGTGGGAAGTGGCTTTGAGGAGAGAAGGATTCACTGCAAGTTTTTCATCAGTGCTTTGCTCTCAACATTTTAAGCAGGGCGATTTTGATAGGACGGGTCAGATTGTTCGACTCCGATATGTTGTTATTCCATCCGTCTTCAGCTTCCCGGTTCACCTCCAAAGAGTAGGTGTATCATCATAAGGCTATTAGCATTCATAAATGTAAATATTCTATTATCAATCACAGGGAAGGGGGATGTACTTATCCCTTTATATATGTATTGTATTATGTATTATGCTTCTTCATTTTAGTTGGAAAAGGGCAGGGCTACGTCTACCTCCAGAAGAGCTGAAGAAAGCCTGTCCGTGGCCTCTCAGGATTCCCAAGAAACGGCAACCTCACACCCACAACCTCAGCCTAATTATGTGAATATTTCTACTTTAAACATCATATCATAATGTTCCTGGACATATTAAAATCTCACTTATTTGCTGCAACTCATATTAAACACACTCACAAATAACCCCATACACACACAATTGAAGACACGATGAACATGCATTCCTGACACACACACACACACACACACACACACACACACACACACACACACACACACACACACACACACGGTGCTGGCAGTGGCTTTGACATGGGATGACTATAAGAAAGATTGTGGGCCATAAACTAGTGGTGTCAAAGTGATGTTTGTGAAGTGAAACATTACTCAAACCATGTTCATCCCTCTTTCTACTAGGATCATGGCTATGCCTTGCCTGCTTCTCCTGCCGCTCTTAAGACCAGACTCAATAAAGCCTTCACAAGAGTGGAAAGTCTGGAGCGAGAGAAGAATGCCATGGCCAGAGAAAAGAGGTCAAAGACCACAGTGAAGAGTATTTTGGGTGATTTGAGGGAAAAGAACCTCATTAATGAAGAGCTCAAAGAGAAGCTTGAATTCTACTCCGCTAAGACAAAATTAGCATTTTGAAATACATGTACATGTTATTCTTACTCTCTTTATAAAACTCCTTAGTTATTATCTTAAGGGGACTTATTCATTTTAAATCATAACATTTCAGATCTTCAGATAGACCTCATGGCAAAGCAGGGCCATGAGTACACAAAGGACTACAGAGAGTTTGCGCTCACGCTCCATCTACAGGGTCCAAAGGCACACAAATACCACATGGTGCTTTCTTGGGGTGTCTTGTTTCGCCATGATCAGAGTAATAAAACTTTTTTCTTTTGCAGGTACTTGTCGGTCATCGGATTTGTCATCAATATCGACACGTTGATGCTGATGATTCCTGAACTGCTCCAAGTTCAGCGGTATGTGCCCACCTACAGGTTCAGCCAGGATCACTTGGAGCTCTTATTTAATTCAATCAGAGCGTCAGGTAGGGTTGGTGCTCTTTAAATTACAATAAATTCTGAAAATATACCTAATGAATATCTTTATGTCTTGTGAGTAATGTATGTATTGTGTGCCTGTTTTCCATACAAGGCGACTGGAATAACAATCCATCGGCACGCCAGTTCCAGGCCATCTCCCGCCGTCTGATGGTTCGGTGTGGTGTCTCATCTGGTAAGACAGACAATGTGGCAGCCCTTAGATAACACTGTTTCCCTGTCTGCTGTGGAGATGTCCTCTGCTGAAGAGCACCCATCTCCATTCGCCAACATTTCGCCGTGTGTGTGTGTGACCACAGTTATCTCCCCACTCGGTTTGGTGGTCTGGTGGTCAATGCTCTGGTCTACATAGCAGGGTTTGTATTCCGGCAGATTCTACGAAAGGTGTCCTGTGATGTGTGCCGTGCGAGCTTGGTCAGAGATGCTGTACCATCTTCATTTGAAAAGAGCAACCACCTTCTAGCCCTGAAAAACGACGGCGGCCTAGTGATTCCATCACAAGGCACAGTGAAGGGTTTTTTTTTTTTTTATCTTTGTAAATTAAGGTTGCTTTGTTCTTATTTTCTCTGTTCTATAAAGTGTCTTTGAGTACTGTGTAAAGCACTATATAAATATAATGTATTATTTTGTTTATTATTATTATAAAGTGCTGATAGCTGCAGAGAGGGTGATCCGCCGAGCTTCAACGGTGCAAGCTCCTAAGGTGTCGACAGTCACACACATCGTCCGGCAGGAGATTGGAACGGAGGATGTTTTTCTGCTTGGGGAACACATTGAGGAGACAGTTTGGCATCGACAACCATCATTCTGATTTGTTGTCATTGGTTGTGTCTGTGTTTCTCAGGATAAGGCTGCACCACATTGCCAAACTTACCTCTCTTGAACTGCAGAAAGGGAGCACCAGAAAGAAGCTCTGCAAAACAGTCCTGTTTTAGGGTTTTTAGCTCATGTAAAGCGTGTGAGTGGGGCTGCTAAATGTCAAGGGCTGGGAGGAGATGGATGCAGAAGAACGTGGTAGTACAGTGTGTGAGACAGAGAGAGACAAATATATATAAAAAAAATCAAGTAGACTATCATTTAATCATATTGTTTCTTCAAATTATTAAAATATCTAACTTTACTCTCACTATCTGTTTCTGCTTCTCTATCATATTTATAGTGTGTGATTTGCAAAATACCCATCATAGCCTACATCACATTTCATAGGGTGACCAGACATCCCTGTTTTTGGTTGCCTGTCACTGGCTAAATACAGGAAAAAAAAACTACCTCTGTCCCCGTTTTGTATTCTAAGACACAACCGAACACTGAACATGGTAAGCTTTGCAATCCTTTTAATGACATCGTGCCACTGAGAAATTAATGACAGAAAAATGTCATTTATTTACATGACTATTCACAGTGTAAAATAGACTTTATTCAAATACATACAAAAAAGGCTTTCCACCAAAACATTCTCTTAAATAATATTTTCAATGTCACCATGTACATATATACAGCATAATAAAAATACTTTTTTTTAAAGAAGCCACAGATTTATCTATAACATTTATGATGAAGATTTGGTCCCTACAGGGTGCAGGGTTAGGAGGGTGAGAGGCACAAAGACCAAAAGAAGCTAAGGGATACTGAAAATTTGGCAGTAATGTGGGAATACATTAGCAGCAACTTCCCATGTCAATGAGTAAGTGGCTCTTGACTATCATAGATGTTTAAATAGCAACTATACATCATTTCATTATATCCTTCTGGTTGTTACTTCAGTAAATCAAATTTGGTCACTTAATGCAGAACTGTCATTTGCAATTTTCAGCAAAGATATCAAAGTTCATATACGTGTTACAGTCCTTATTCACAGAAATTTGCCATGGTTCCGTGTTCTGAAAACCATATGACATGAACCTCTTTTGCTAGAGGCAATGTTATCGAAGCCATGTGGAATAATGATGGGTGGTTTAAGAATGAAAAAAAAAAAAAAAATAAGTTCAAGTAACTTTTTTTTTATATATATAGATAAGAGCTTTTTTAGAATATCAGGCAAACAAAACTTCAGAAAGATGTTGTTCTCCTGCCAAAAGCGAAATCTTTTGCAACAACATCATTCCTGAGATTTTAGTTTATAATCAACAATGATTTTTGGAGTGTACAAGACTACATTTAATTATAAAACCTCAATGTCACTCAAACCTCCAACTTTAAAGAATTGCTTTGTAACTCGCCTTTTTATTGGTGGAGAATATTGCTGATAAAGATCTACTTTCCAGTAAATAATCTTGTCTGAAACTGAATGCAGCAGTGAGTTTCCAGACTCTATTCTTGACTGAAATTAAAATTTTGAAAACATATTGTTGATCAATGCCACGTGTCAAAATGTCACAGGGAACTGTGGGAGGAGAATACAAAAATGCAAATGAGATGAGGCAGAATCTGATGCCATTCAACCAGTTCTCTTTGGCACAATTCGATAGGAAAAAACGTCTAAGAAAAAGAAAAGGAGCAGTGCGTTTATGACCATCTGACATAGAAACATTCCCATATCCCCCCAGTCCTGAGGTTTAGAGACAACCCACCAAGTCCTCATCGATAAAATCAGCTTCAATACTGCTAAAAACTGGAGACACACGAGTCCCAAGTAACGTTACATAAATAGTGCAGATCTGTGCGCGAGTATTTCAAGTAGGGCAGATGGAGTGCTCAGAAACCGTCCAGATGATTCATGCTGTTGGCTCTTAAGTGAATCTCCTCTAAGAAGTTCTCCAGCTGCTCAATCAAGACCCTCTTCTTAAACCTGTGCACACGCACACAATGTAATTAATTAGTAATAAGATATATTAATAGAATAGAAGCATAATTATGGCTTAATGCATTGGAAGTGCATATACGTGCAGGTGCAGCAAACATGTACCGAAAGTATACTTCTTTTGATAGCACACAAACACATGCACACCAGAAGGCTTCATCCTTGTCCAGTGTCTGTACTATTTCTCTCCACAAGTTGACCAATTAAAAAAAAAATACTTTGAGGCCATCCTTAAAAATATTCTTGTTTGCCGTAACCCGACCGACCCTGTCAAATTAGGACCGACCCAATTATTTATTTATTTTCCCTTTTAGTCCGACCGACTTGCCGGTTGTAAACTTGCATTAAGACCGACCGATTTTTTTTTTTTACTCTTCAAACAACTAATACAAATGCAATAAAATAATATACATTTATTATAGTAAGTATTGTGAATATAAATTGCGTAGGCTACGTTCTTTCTTTTAAATAAAAACCCGTGGCGTCATCTATTATGATTATGTTTACACCATTGGTTTACGCATGTCACACTATGGCCTGTGCGTTCGCTTCGTTTCATTCACTGTCAATGGTTCGCGCTCGGTGATGATGGCTGCGGCGCGGCTGCTTGTGAAATACGTCTGTATGAGCCTACATTTAGTCGCTCATTATTCGAAATTCTTAATGGTTAAATAGGGAATCGATGTTAACGGCCTTTTCTCGGAGCCCGTCCAGCTCGTCATGACATGCCCACCGTGAACGCGCGTCACACAGCAACTGCAGGCTCTGACAAACAAACACACATAAGTGTGGGAAGCCAAACACACCGAAAGGGGGACGAAACGGCGCGGTGTGTTACAGAGTTCGCGCTTGCGCTGACTTGTAATCTGCGTGGCTCAATGGACAGAGACGCGCGAGCGCGACAGACTCGACAGCGCAGAGAGAAGTGTTTGCTTGCGCCAGCCAATGGTCAGAGCGGCGGGAACTAATCTCACCAGCGCCGCGCTGACCAATAAAACAGCACATCCCATACCGAAATGTACTAAATTGCACAAAAGAAAATCGACCATTCCATAATATGTCAGGACTACTTAATCGGCCTATAGTTTCCTACAATGCGCCTAGCTATTTGACCTCACTGATTTCCGTTAACAATAGCAGATGTTTATGGGTCAAATCTCTCACTCTCTCCCTGCAACTTTTTGTTACCCTCCTTTCCTGCCCCTAGGCCAGAAAGGGGGCTTGTAACAGTATGGGTCAAATGTAAACGAATGGTGCCAAACGCGCTGTTTTATTGGTCGGCGCGGCGCTGGTGAGATTAGTCATTTTAATTTATTTGTTTCCCTCTGAAAATCCACTTTCATTGAAATCTAGTGGCTCCTTTTTTTTTTTTTTTTTTATTCTGCCTATTTTTTTCCAAATGAATGCAGCTGGAATTAATGCAATAAATATGTTTTTTTTTTTTTACAAAGATTTCAAATTGTTTGTGGTCTATAACCTGTATCAAAATGAGGTTCGCAATGGTGCGCCCGAAGGCATGGGGGTTGAAGACCCAGTCAGTGACGTCACGATATGCAAATTTGTTTAAATTCATACCGACCTAATCACTATGACCAAAATTATCCTTTTTTTTTACATTGAATCTTGAAAAAAAAAATAGAGACCTACCTACCGACCCTTTATTTTTTTTTTGCTGTTACTGCAAACCAAAATATTTTTAAGGATGGCCTGAGTTTTGTCAAACTCTAGTCTAAATGACTACTAACAAAGTATATACTGTATGCATGTATATTAGATATAATATATATACACATTTACACACAGCGTTTAAGTCCATTTCTCAGATGCAAGCCATTGCTTACGCAGCACAAGTGCCCAATACTGGTGGGACCCTTGCAATGTGTTTAAATATAACGCCCTAAGCCCTTGATCACTTGCGGGTAAAATAAGTGCGAGCAAAGTGAGATGCTGTTGTGAAGTCACAGTTGTGTTGTATTGTTGTCTATAGATCTGCATGAAGTGCACATGAGTACAGTGGACTCGCTTCCCCCAGTCAGAATCGAGGGTCTGTCCAAATAAACTTCCCTCGTCCACTAGAAGTTGAACGCACTTCAAAATGGTGGCTGGGATTCCACCGAGGAGAAGTGCTTAGAGAAGTTTGCGAATGCATGTCTAAAAGTGGAGAAAAACGCAGGAAATGCATGCACCTATTGTTGCGTCTCCAGTAGTTTGTTGTTCTGTCTGTTTCTTTTTTGACTGCGAATCCAGTGCTGCCACCTTGTGGACCAACTGATTAGTGGCAAAAAAAATTCAAGGCGCATATGAACTGAGCATAGAGTGAAAATTCTGGCTCCATGCATTCTTAAAAAAAATGTACATATCATACACTGCAAGTATATCCTATTGTGTATGCATAATTTTTTTTAAAATTTGGGCTTTACTCTTCGTACAAATACCAATATGTAGTTAATCTACCTCATAATGTTGAATCTGGAGAAAGGATTTTACCTGGCAGCCTCTTTGATTATGCTTTGCAGGAAGATCAGACGTGTTTCCAAACTGCCCTGGATTTGCTTGAGGAGGTAGAAGATTTTTTCATAACCTGCGTTAAGGACGGGGGGTGGTAGAAAGGTTTGATGTATGGTGTCATGAGCAATGTCCAAAAATAATTGTAAAACCACTGGAACAAATGAATTTCCCACGACCGGTAATATTGTACAATGTATAAATAAATAGAACAAAATGGAACCCAGCTGTAATAATATTACAGATTTTCACATTTAGCAAAAGACGCCAACAGTGGATTTCACAAGACAAAGCGTTGGTGGGGGAGACCACCCCTCCTTCGCTTATTGGACGCCATCCAGGAAAGAGCATTAAGAGAGGAAATGATAGAAACACTTTAGCAGTGTTTAGTTGCAGACATCTGCACGTGTTGTTACTTACGTCTTCCAGGTTTCCGGATCTCCTTGGTGATGAGCACTCGGAGTTCAGAGTTCAGCTCCTGGCTCTCTTCGTTTCTGATTTTCTTCAGCTGGCAGGGGGAAGGGTAGCGGCACGGGGCCTCCTC